CGGCCTCCCCCCCCCACCCCCGCGGCGCGGCAGGGGTGGGGGGTGGGGGAGGGCCCGGAAGATCTGACGCGAATGAGGCCGAGTCTCTCTGCGCGGCGAAACTCATTCATTCGACGCGGATTTGTCGGGCGCTGGGGACACGCCGTGGAACGGGACGGGCGCGGTCCCAGCCCTCGCGGGGGGGGGGGGGGGGGGGGGGGGGGGGGGCCACTGCGGGATGTCACATGTATGATGGGGGATACCTGCCGCGGCCCGGGGGAAGGTGACCTCCGAGGCCAGGGGAGGGAGGGGTGGGTGGTTGGGACCGCGTTCCAGGCCCAGAAAACCTGGAGGAGGGGAGGCCTGAACCCCAGGAGCGCTCCTCTCAGAGCACAGGGCCCCAGGCGCAGGCGGGGTACGAGCTGATGCAGTGCCCGTGGGGTCAGGCCTGACCCCTCCTCAAAGAGCTGGGCCTCTGGGCTTTAAGCAGAGGGGGGGACAGGGTCGGATCTCCTCCAGCCTCCGCGCAGAGGGGTGGCCCCCCTGTGGAGGGGTGCTCGGGTGGGAGCTGAGGCTGAGGCCAGTGGCCAGGGCTCCACCTGGACGGACAGAGGCAAGAGAAGAGAGTCCACAAGGCCGTCCCTGGCCACACCAGCTACACTATCAACATGTTGGGACCTTTCCTGTCCCTTAACTAGCTTTATCCTTTTACGCCTTAGCAACCATCACAGACTGTCTGTGTCACTGGGTGGTTGTATTTCTTTCGCGTGTGTCCCCTCCCCCGTAGCACCAGGCCCCTCGGGGCCAGCGTTCTTGTGTCATCTGTAGTTGTAGCTCCAACACCTGGAAGGCACCTGACTCTGCAGTGGTCACTCAGCAAACCTCTGTGATGAGAAGGTGCTGGGGGCCTGGGGGTGGACGGCGCTCGAGGAAGAGGCAAGGAGGAGGTGACGGGCGAGGTGGGGCTTAGAGAGCCTGGGGGAGGTGGGAGGGGAGTCCGACTCCGGATCTGTTGACGTTTAACCGGATTCCTTGGCTGCTGCTCAGAGCACCGATTCCCGGCAGGCCTGGGCAGAGGCAGGACCCACGGGAGGGCGCCGCATGGCCAGCCAGGGTGGCGGTGGCCGGTCCGGTGAGGCAGGTGAGGACATGGGGTCAACTAGTTAAGACTCAGGTTATATTTTGAAAGCAGAGACGGTAGGATCGCCTGGTGGACTGGGTGGGGGACAAGGAGAAGGGAGTCAAGGTCAATGCCGAGGATTTGAACCCGAGCCACTGTTAGGACAGGTTGTCCGTTGCTCAGGTGGGGAGTGGACAGGTGTGGAGGCGGCCAGAGCAGGAGTCCGGCTCTGGCCGTGTGAAGCATGGATGCACGTTGGATGAGATGCCAAGGAAGCAGGTGATGCCGGCACCTGGAGTTCAGGGTCACGGAGGCTGTGGCGATAAGCTGGGGAGTCGTCCTGGGACACATGGAATTAAGAGCTGTGTGGCAGGATAAGGTCGCTAAGGAGGGAGCATGAGGACTGAGCCCTCAGAAACAGGGATGGGTCTCTGGGTGGGGGAGGGGGTCAAGGGCGGCTCCCTGAGGGTTATAAACCCGTGCATATAGTATAATCGAATTAACTACATACCCCTGTGAAAAGCAGTCTGAAGGCTACACCCCCTGGGTGTTGTATCAGTTGTTACCAGCACAGGTGGGAATGCAGGTCACTTTTTTTCTGTTCTCTTCTGTATTATTCCTTGTATTTTAAAAAATTGGGGGCGCCTGGGGGGCTCAGTCGGTTGAGTGGGCCGACTGTTGATCTCGGCGTAGGTCATGATCCCAGGGTTGATCGAGTACCCCCGATGGGCTCCACGCTGAGCGTGGGGGCCTGCTGAGGGTTCTCTCTCTCCCCCTCCCTCTGCCCCGCTCCCCTGCTCACGTTCTTTAAAAATAAAGTATATAAACGGGGTGCCTGGGTGGCTCCGTCGGTTAGGCGTCTGACTTCAGCTCAGGTCATGATCTCACAGTCTGTGAGTTCGAGCCCTGCGTCGGGCTCTGTGCTGACAGCTCGGAGCCTGGAGCCTGCTTGGGATTCTGTGTCTCCCTCTCTCTCTGCCCCTCCTCTGCCCATGCTCTGTCTCTCCCTGTCTCAAAAGTAAATAAAAACATTAAAAAAATTTTTTTTAATAAAGTATATAAAATAAAAAATTGGACGTAATTCACATAAGATTCACTATTCTAAAGCGCACAGTTGTGTGGTCTCAGCATATTTGCTGGGTCGTGCGACCATCGCCACTACTAAATTCAGAAACTCCTCTGTATTTTAGACAGATTGTTTTCTGCAGTTAAACACACTGCTTTTGACTAAGACAAACATTTGGTCAAGTCGTTTTGCTCATGTGCAGGTAGCCCAGGGAAGGTGCCTTCCCGAGTCACCTGCCAGAGTCTATCGATGACCCAGATGCCCAGACGCCATCCAGACAGGGGCGGGACTGAACGAGATGGGGGCGTGGCCTGAGAATCCGCATCTTAACCCAGCCTCTAGATCTCCCCCTGCCCTTCAGCAGAGAATCCCTTGTCTTGTTTTATAAGTGGCCTGGGAGTGTGACCCCAGAAGCTTGCTCAGTAGTTCTTCCAGAAAGCCCTCGGGGAACAAAAATGACGTACATGGGGTAGGCAGAGGCTGGGTCAGATATTCCCTATGTCACTGCATCTTGGGCGACGGTGACCTTCCCGGCTCCGACCCAGTCTCTTCTGAGCCTTAGCCTGTGTATCTGCTGTGCCACAGGGCGTGTCCATTTGAGTGTCCCCCAAATCCATCAGGCCAGAAACATAACTTACCCCCAGAAAAGGATCTTCTCTCCTGAGGCAAATGGCTTCTCCTATTCTCTGGGGCTCTAGCCAGAAATGTACAACATCTTAGACCCCCTGCCCTCCCAGGGACCCACTCTCTAGATCCGTCCAATGCACCTCGGCCATTGGATGTCACTCCCTAAATAGACCTCAAGGCTGAACACTTTATTCCATCCCCCACCCCCAGCCAGGCTAATCCAGCCACTGCCCTCTCTGAGCCGCCTTCTCTCTTGACTCGCCTCTCATCGACTTTGCTCCGCCAGGGCTGTTGTCCCCTCCCGTGCTGTAGCGACCGCCTAGATGTGCCGTGTCCGACACAGAGACCCCTCCCATGCAAACGCCACTGAGCACGTGAAAGGTCGCCAGATCCCAAGGAGATTTGAAGGTGTGTACAAAATAAAAAGAATGAAAAATATCTCATTCCTATTTTTCAAAAGGTAATTGCATATCGAACTGGTAATATTTTGGATGTAAAGTTTCACTACCTTAAGTTTTTTTAATGCTTTATTTATTTCTGAGAGAGAGAGAGAGAGAGAGAGAGAGAGCAGGCGCGGGGGAGGACCGGGGGACAGAAGATCCAAAGTAGAGTGGACTCCACGCTGACAGCAGTAAGCCGGATGCGGGGCTCGAACTCGCGAACCACGAGATCATGACCTGAGCCACAGTTGGACGCTCAGCCAACTGCGCCACCCGGGAGCCCCTCGGTATCTTAACTTTTAAGTGCCTACTAGAAACTTAAAAGTTGCACATGATGGGGGCGCCTGGGTGGCGCAGTCGGTTAAGCGTCCGACTTCAGCCAGGTCACGATCTCGCGGTCCGTGAGTTCGAGCCCCGCGTCGGGCTCTGGGCTGATGGCTCGGAGCCTGGAGCCTCTTTCCGATTCTGTGTCTCCCTCTCTCTCTGCCCCTCCCCCGTTCATGCTCTGTCTCTCTCTGTCCCCAAAATAAATAAACGTTGAAAAAGTTGCACATGATGGGCAGTGCTACTTGATGTCCCTCCAGGTCTCCACGTAAACATCACCTCCGTGGAGCCTTCTTGGCTCCCCCCGGTGAACTCCAGCCCCCCTGGTCCTTGGGGTTGCGGGCACTTTATATGATAAAGAGGTGTGTCCGGGGAAATCCTTTCCTTTCCACAGGCCTGGGGTGGTTTGGGGGTGCAAATGGGGAGGGTGCCCAGGGCAGTGTCAGCTGCGGGGGGTGGGGGTGCTGAAATTTGACCCAGTGGAAGGGGGATCCGGGAGGAGGAGGGGTCCCACTGAACCTCCAGCGTGGAACGGAACACCCTCCCCCCCAGCCTGGTCCTGTCCCTCAAGCACCACGTGGCTTTGGGCAGATCACTTCCTATCTCATAAGCTAATCTGGTCTTCTCATGGGGGGGTGAGTTTATGATGATCAAAAATGCTTTGCACAAGCACAGGACGCAGAGTTAATACCTTCAACCTATTAAGAACTTGCTGGGGCGCCTGGGTGGCTCAGTCGGTTAAGCCTCCCACTTCGGTTCAGGTCATGGTCTCGCGGTTTGTGAGTTCGAGCCCCCGCGTCGGGCTCTGTGCTGGCAGCTCAGAGCCCGAAGCCTGCTTCGGATTCTGTGTGTGTGTGTGTGTGTGTGTGTGTGTGTGTGTGTGTGTGTGTGTCTGCCCCTCCCCTGCTCGCATTGTGTCTCTGTCTCTGTCTTAAAAATAAATAAACATAAAAAAAAAAACAACTTTCTAAGCCACCAAGAAAAAGATGAGCCCTCATTAGAAAGTTGGGGAAAGAACCCGGTTAGACAACATGAAAGCAAATGCAAGTGGCCAGTCCACAGGAAAGCTGTCCCTTACAAGCCATCAAAGAAGCACAATACAAATCGGCCAAGACAAACAAACAAACAAAAAGTTAATAATCATACCCAGTGTTGGCAAAGGAGCCAGAGAATGGGCATCCGGACATCGCCAAGCAGGGTGCAAGTTGGTACGTCCTGTTAAAGAACACTTTGACACTAAATATCCATATTCTCTGACTCAGCACTTCCATTTCTAGGAAATTATCCTCAGCCACCAATTAGAGATCTGCACAAATGTCAAGCCTCAAAGATGTGACTGCAGCAGCGTTTATAATAACGACAGTAAAAAAACGGAAGTCATCTGCATATCCCAAAGGAGGGATTCACCTACCAAACCGTGGAATTCTACACCATATTATAGCATGGCTGGAAAGCTATTCACATGGTGTAGATCTGTTTACAGCACAAACACACAGACACACACACACACACACACACACACACACAGATTTCAAAAACTTATAGGATGATCCCAACTATGTGAGGGGAAAAAAAACGTATGTACGTCATTGAGTATTTTAATTAAGTAGTTTTTAACATATTTTTCTCCAGTAAAAAAGAATTGTTAAATGTATGTAATTCACTGCCTCCTAAAACACCTGTCTGTGCGGTATATGTGTCCCACGGGAAGAGGAGGGTTCCCCTGTTTGTGGGGAATCACCATGCTATAAACCCCCTCCCTCCAGAAGTCAAGGTGTATGTTAGTACCATAAAGGCTCTGAGAAGTCCTGCAGGGAAGGAATCTATTCTATTGAAGTATTTTCTAAACTTATTTGGCCAGCACACCTTTTTGTCCAACCCCCCCCCCCTTAACTCCCATTAGCATTTGAAAAATTGGTGTCCTGTGGAATAAATAACCACGAGGAACACACTGCTTTATGGGTCTGACCCCCCCCTGGGAGAAATGATGGGGATAGCATGCCCTCAAGGTAAGTGGGGCAACACTGAGCCTCGACGAGGGTTAGACGGATGGAGGTAAAGCAGTCAACCTTCAGAACGTGTGTTCACAGGGTGGGCGTGGCTAGAGAGAGCCCACCCACCGGAGTTCCATAACCTTGCACTGGGCTCAACTGAGCGGATCCGCCCTGTCCCTACAACATGCTTCATGCCCATACGGTGGCTGCTGGAGCACTGTGTTGGGAGGAGTCGAGGCAAGCTCGGGCGTGGCTGGAGAGAGTGGCGTGAACCCTCGTGCTGTGGGTCACAGTCACGGGAGGAAGGGTCAGCCTGGGCCCCGAGCCTCCCGATGTTCCTTCGAGAGAATTCTCTGGTCTGACCCGCCCATCTTGCCTGCCGGGGAGCTGCTGCATCATTAGTCCTCAGTAAAATGGCAGTCGGAGAGGACCAGGGGACTCTGGGCTCAGAGAGGAAGGACCATCCACCCGTGTCAGAGGGCCCTCTGGCCAGCCTCGTGTTTTAGGGGCCTGGGGAAGGGGCCAATCACTTCCTCTCCGTTGAGGGAAGCAGTTGGCACAGCCCCGAAGCCACTTACTGGTGATGTGGCCTGAGGCGAGTTGCTTAAACTCCTTAAGCCTTAGTTTCCACACCTGGAAAATGGGCGTAACAAAGATACCACCTCCCCCACAAAGCCATTATCGGAATCAAGTGTGGGGAGGCCTAGGTGGCTCAGGCTGTTAAGCGTCCAACTTCAGCTCGGGTCATGATCGTGCGCCTCGCGGGTTCGAGAGCCCCGCGTCCGGCTCCACGCTGGCGGTGCAGAGCCTGCTTGGGATTCTCTCCCTCTCTCTCTGCCCCTCCTCTGCTGGCACGTTCAGGCGTGCCCGCTCTCCCTCTCAAAACAGAACAAAAATTTTAAAAGTTTTGACAGAAGAATCAAGTCAGTACTTTGCACCACTCAGTAAAGATTGGCTGTTGTTACTGATGACTAATATTTTATTTTTTTTTTTTTTTTAATTTTTTTCAACGTTTTATTTATTTTTGGGACAGAGAGAGACAGAGCATGAACGGGGGAGGGGCAGAGAGAGAGGGAGACACAGAATCGGAAACAGGCTCCAGGCTCTGAGCCATCAGCCCAGAGCCCGACGCGGGGCTCGAACTCACGGACCGCGAGATCGTGACGTGGCTGAAGTCGGACGCTTAACCGACTGCGCCACCCAGGCGCCCCTAATATTTTATTTTAATAACATCCACACTGTTATTGACAAAGGGGGAAAAGCAATGCTTTAATGGAGCCATCTGTGGAAAGCACGGAAACCAGCAGCCCGCGTGCTGGTCCCGCCTGTGGGACCCGGGCTCAGGCATGTGGCCTTTCTGGGCCTCGGTGCCCTCATGTGTAAGCGGGGACCACGGTGCCCCGGGTCGGAGCCGCTTTCTCTGGTGGCAGGAGGCGTGGAACAGCTGAGCGGGCACATTCGAAACAAGAAACAGGTGCCGAGCCCATCTGGCCTGGGGGTAAAGGCCTCCCCCCTCGGTTCTCTCGGATGCCCCGGAAGTGAGAGGAGGTCTCTTCACTCCGGGAGTTCGTGGCCATCCTGCCGAAGGACAACCCCTAACAGGCAGACTGTTCCGGGCCTCACAGTCTCTCTGCCCCGTGAGCCCGGGGGGCACGTGCCCTCTCTGAACTTCACCTTCCCCGCCGCAGCCTTCGGCGAGGCTCTCAAAGTGAGGCTCTTCCTACAAGTGGACGGCTGGCCACCCGTCGCCTGCTGTCTCAGCGTGGGCCAATTCGTTAGAAGGACAGCAGACAAGCCAGGGCACCCGAGGGTAAGGGCACCCCTGGGAGGGAACAGAGACCAAAGCAGCTGAGGGCAATGTGTGCACACACAGAAGCGTCAGGGGACTGAGGGGCAGGTCCCCCCGATCTCCAGGACGTGGGACCCGCCGGCAAAAACGAGGAAAAACAGTGTCTTCAGGTAGCCATCAGCTCGGGTCCCTGCCTCCCCCTCTGCGGCCCTGTCTGTGCTCGAAGTGCAGTCCTGAGAGAGACTGTCTGGGCTGTGCCGGGGTCTCGGGCCCACACCGGACGTGGGGTGGGAAATTCCCCCAGGAACCGGGTGCTTTTTCCAGAAGGATGGGGAGTGACGGTTGGGGCGTTGGGGTGGGATCCGATAAACACCCGGGCACTTTCTCTGTCTGCAGACAGCCTCCCCGGCGCCTCCTGCCCCAGCCTGGGTCTCGTGTTCCCTCCAGCACCTGCCCACCAGACCGACTGGTGAGTCACAGGGCCCGGTTCTGGGACAGAGGGTCTGATTGGCCCACGCGAGTCAGGTGTTCGCCCCGGTCCAACGGGCCCTGGCCAACGAGGGGCAGGTCACATACTCAGGGCTTCCGAGGTCTGCCCTCAAGAAAGGGGAGCTGGGTTGACCCGCCAAATATCACCAACCACACAATTCAAGAAGCCTCAACGTGCCCCCCTTCCAGATGGCAGAGAGGAGATGCCACCTCCTGTGGCTTCTGCCAGATGCAGGGTAAAGCCTCCGGGAATCAGCGGGCTCCCCCAGGGTCAAGCTCAGAGATGATCAGAGCAAGGGGGGGGGGGGGCGGGGGCGGAGGAGCAGCTCTTCTGGAGGCCCAAGGCCAGGATCCCATAACCACCCTCAATGCCAGGGAGCTGCCCGCCACTTGGCCTGTC